ATGTAAGAGACTATCCCATTCTTAGGAAATACTTTTTGAAGTATTGGGGTTTGAGGGGCACAGTGGTCCAGAAAATAATGTTCAGCTTTAGATAATGGTGATGCTTGCACAACTCTGTGAATATACTAGTATGTACTAAAAAGTGAATATACTCTACACTGAATTGTACACATTTAAATGATGAATTTTATAATTTATAAATACCTCCATGCAAAATGTGAATGTACAAAAAAATGGAGGGACTCAAAGGAATGTTACTGTTCACAGTGGTCATTATCTTGCCTCCCCCTTTTCTGATCTTTCCCTTCCAACACATGTACAAACTAAAAAGGCTTAAAATTGGCACATTTTCTGTCTCTTAAAAGAGATTTCACAAAATGCCAATTGTTTCGTATTTACAGTTTGTTGTTTTAACACCCAGATTTGTCATGTTTCTTAGGTAGTCCTGCCTTGCTGTGTTTCATTCACAAATATGCACATATCTTGCTCATTCCCACATGCTCTTAAAAATTTTCTCAAGCACCCACAGTGTTGCAGTCTGCCTATGTTGGCAGTATTTATATCCTGAAAAAAGCTGCCTCTTTTTCCCATTGCTGTAAGAAACAGAGCAAAACAAGGCAAAACTCCCGCATTACTTTGCCATATTGGTTTATCAGCTGTCGCCTAAGAACTATGTGACTCACTGTGTCTTTAGACTCAAAGATCAAACATAGGTGCCCCACTGGAGGCACCTTACTTAACCATGAATGTTTTAACCATGCTGCCCCAGGAAAGATACCATGAACCTTCTTATGATGGTTATGTTAAATGTGAGTCTGTGGTTATTGATTGCAAAAGGGTATGTCAAGTTCATTTGACAATCAATGATCAAGATGGAGAGCTGCATAGATGCCTGTCCCTTTCTTGGCTTGCAAGCCTCCTTAATGTTTTAAAAGAACAACAAATACCCTAGTAATCATTTTCTTTGTTATTTTTCAATAATAGTTATCCAGTAGGAATACTTAGTTCTGAGTCTTACTCTGAAATAATATATATTTCAGAATGTATTAGTCTAAACTGTCTGAAATTAGGCTAAAAGAATCTGTTACTTACTTGGCCACCTTGAACATGAATAGTTAAGATATCTTTTTTCCCCTAGCTTTAAAGTAGTTACTATATCTTAAATATTAAGGCTTAAATGTTAAGGCTTTGACACTGAATACTTGGTGAGTATGTAATTCCTTCATCCATTCAAAAAATGTTTATTGAGCACCTGATAAATGTGCCAGACAATAATAAGTAGAAATCAACATAACCCTTGCCCTCATGAATTTTAGAGTCTGGAGGTAAAAACAAAATTGAATCAGATGTTCATGGAAATTAATAATGTAATTTCTAACTGAGAGAAGTGATGAAGGAAAGGAACATGAAAAAACAGAATCTGAGGTAGACTAGATGGAGGCTTCCCTGAGGCAAGACATACTTGAGTTGAGGGGAAAAAAAGGTAGAGTTTTAGTTATTTAGACTAGCAGTAGGAAGAAGAGCATTCCTGTAAGACAAAATAGCACTTGCAAAGGCCCTGTGGCAGGAGAATGTTGCAGGAAATTTTTAAAAGGCCAGTAAGCATAAAGAGCAAGGGCAGTGGTACAGGGTGAAGTTGGAGAAATCAGTGGAAATCATTATATAAGCCTTTTATTCCATGGTTTTTTTGTTTTGTTTTGTTTTGTTTTTAAATCTAGTCTTAATTATAACGGCAGTGAGAAGCCATTGAGAAGTTTTATGTAAAGTGATGACAGGATGAGATTTGTGTTTTTAAAACAGCACTCTACATTCTGGAAAATAGTTTGGCAGTTCCTTCAAACTAAAAATGGACTTACCAGATGACCCAGCAATTGCATTCTTGGGCATTTATCCCAGAAAAAAAATGCAGATTTATTTTCACACAGGAACTTGTACATGAATGTTCATACTGGCTTTATTCGTAATAGCCAAAAAGTAGAAACTATCCATGTAGTCCTTCAGTGAGTGAATGGTTTAATAAACTGTAGTACATCCATACCATGGAATACTACTAAGTAGTAAAAAGAAGCAAAATATTGACACACATAGTAACTTGGATGAGATTCAATGAAATTATATTACATGAAAAAAATCTCCAAGGGATACATACTGCATGATTTCATTTGTGTAACCTTCATGGAAATAATATAAACAATTATAAAAATGCAGAATAGATTAGTGGCTGCCACAGATAGATTAGGGAGCGGATGGATGGCTGTGGCTGTAAAGAGATCACACCAGGGAGTCTTGTTATCAGGGAGTTTTGTACTGACAGTATAGTTGAGTATCTTGATTGTGGTGGTGGTTATACAAGGCTATACATGTGATAAAATTATATAGAGCTACACACACACACACACACACACACTTACAGAAACACCCATGCATGTATAACTGGTAAAATCTGAGTAAGTTCTATGGATTGTACCAATGTCAATTTCTTTAAAATTTAAAATTTTGGTCTTTATATTGCACTATAATTGTACATGGTGTTAACACTGGGGGAGGCTAAGGGAAGAACACACAGGACTTCCCTATATATTTCTTTGCAATATCCTCTTAATTTATAATTATTTCAAAATAAAAATTAAAAAGAAAAAGATTGCTCTAACTACAGAGCAGGAAATGGAATGAATAGAAGTTAAGGCTGATATGGAGGAAACTATTGGGTTGTTATTATATTAGTCTAGGAAAGAGATAAATGGTCATGGCTGGACTTGGGTGGTGGCAATAGGAACAGAAAAGAATGGATACATCTGAGAAATACTTAGGAGGTAAAATTTAAGGAATTTGGTGATTGATGGGATAACAGGTTAAAGAAAATTAGTTCACAGGTATTTTGAAGTTTAACTTTGCCTCTTATTTCATAGCCTAGTAAATAAATACACATTTTAGACAAGACAGCAAAAAATCAGACACCATCATTTTATGACAGAACATATTCCACAACCAAAGGTGCTGTTGATTCAAGATCACTTAAGAGAGCTTTGCTAGCCTAAATCACACACTATTATTGTGCCAACCATCAATTTATTGCCTGCTCTCCAGAAATGAAGCTGGACCCTTTAACTATTTTTCTCTTGCCAGCCAGCATGATGTGATACTTTGTCAGTAGTGGACGCTGGAGAGAGATTACAGGAGGAAGGGTCTTCTCTTCTAGTTCCAGTTGCTCCTCTTGGTGGGCTCCTGCAACATGCTTGGCTTCTCCAGCATCCAACTCCTGCAGTGTTGGCAACTTATGCAGTGCCAGAATCCTACCATGTAGGTAGCACACAGGGGCCAGGAGGCCCGCAGCTTTCTCTGGGACTCCCCTCAGACTGCAAGACTGCACCCTCTGCCATAACGTCAGCATCTCAGCCTGGAGAGGGAGGGGCTCCTTCTTTGGGTGCTCCGTCTCAGTTTTAAGGGTAGGAACTCCTCCTTACATATGCTTTACTCATATCTTTTTAGCATCTCCTTACTTCTTACTATCCGATTGCTCCCTACTGCAACCTCCTGCTGCAGTTAATTCTTTGAGTAAATTTACCCTGTTCAGATTACTGTGTCTTGACTGAATCCTGACCCAAACAAACCATCCCTAAAAGTTTGCTGTTCTGATTCCCTCAACATTGAGCTTGTGAGAGCCCATCTGTATTTGTCAACAAAGGGCTCCTGGATGTGGTTGACCAATGTATAGAGGTTGTGAAGCTGACCACAGTTTCATTTATATCACGAGAGCTTTCAAACCAATATTGTAAAATTTCCAAATATCTGGAATTGGGTTTGGTTTCTATTTCTATTCAACTTAAAACAAATCTATGACTTTAAATGTTTGAAAACAGAGTTTATAGCAGTATTATCTCTTTTTTTACCCTGAAGAAAAGTTTATATCTCAATCTAAACCAACTTATATTGGAGTCTTTATGCTTAAATGCTCCACTATGCTATCTTCCACAATAAAAAAAGTAAAATTTGAGATGTAAAATATCAAAAACAAAGACTGTAAAATACTTCAAAATATAGGAAAACAAGGAGGTTAAGCAGATTCCAAGTCAAAGATGGTTGATGCTAGAAATGAGTATTTCTTTCTGCAGCATGTGATAATGTTGATCATTTCTTGATTGCCATGACACTCTTGTTTTTTTAATTTTTTCATTTCTTCTCATTTTCCTTTACAGGCTCCTCTATTTCAGTCTACCCTTTAAAATGTCAGTGTTTCCCTGGATTCTGTTCTTGGCTCTTGGTGTCTCACTGGTCCTGGGTGAGTTGATCTATTCTGAGGTAAGATCTCCCTTATTTGTATCTGCAGCCTTGACCTGTCCCCTGAGCTCCAAAGTCCTTTATGTGACCGAATTTCTACTCTAGGAATCAGGAGATTACAGCCTGTGGGACATACTCAGTGTACTGTCTGGTTTTTTGAATAGCCTTATTAGAACACAGCCACACCCACTTATTTGCATATTGTCTGCGCTTGCTTCTCTAAGGGCAGAGTGAGTAGTTGTGACAGAGAAAGGCCTGCAACACTCCTATGTATTATCTGGGCTGCCACAGAAAAAGTTTCCCGACCGCTGCTCCAGCCTAAGCTGTGCCTTCTACTGTATTTTAGGAATGACTGAGCATGTATTGTTAAGTAGAGGAGTAAGCCCACTAACAATAGCTCTACCTGCATCTCTCTGAATGAGAGTAAAGATTAACTCTGGAACTCATAACCAAGACTCATGGATAAAGACAACAGCACGTGCAAGTATATTTTATTAGGAGTTCTGTCACACTGGGGCATAAGGAGTATAATACACAATACTCTTTGCTGTCAATCAAATGGAGAATATTCAAAGACTTGACTGCCAGACCTCATTCCCAAAGATTCTGATTCAGTACGTCTGGGGAGGGTCTTGAGAATCTGAAATTTTAGAAAGCTTTCTATGTAATTTTGATAAGTAGCAAGTAGTCAGGATTTGGAAGTCAAACTGATCTAAAAACCCATGGCCAAGTAAGACGGTCTTTTTATTCTTGATGAGTCATTAAAAAGCTAATTCATTTCTCTTGATTTAATATTACTTGAGTCTCTAACTTTAGGGAATTACAATAAAGGATCCAAAATCTCTTAGCAATGATTTTTCTCAACCACTTTCTTTGCACTAAGGACCATATAATAAAAACTCTATTTCCATATTGACTGATATTTTCAAAGTGCTTTCACATCTTCTCTCAATAACCCTGTGCGGTAGAGGGTAAGATCCAATACTTAGCATGAGTTTATCAGACGTACCAAAGCCCTGTCAATTTAGTTGATCCAGGGCCACTCCCAGTCTGCTGTTATTCACGCATTCACTCAACAACAAAATTGTTTGAATTCTTGCCAGTCGTTGTTCAGTACCAAAGGATGCAGTAGTGGACTGGGTAAAATTCCTGCCTGCATGGAGCTTACAGTCTAGTTGGGGGATGAGGTGGTGGCGGGAGGCTTCTCCTAAGATGCACCTCCTGTAAAATTTCCCCAGCCTATCCTACTCTGAATCTTCTAATCAGTAATTTCCCCCCAAACTTATAAGAGAAAGGATAACATTTGTCCCCTGGCCACACCATATCCTGTGTTTTAAAGCTGCTGCTGCTGCTGTGGTGCTTATGTGTTACGCAGTCTTTAAGACTGTACATTGGCCTCCTGTTTACATCTGTTCTCTCTGACATTATGTGCGCAAGTGAATGAGTTCTATGGGTCTTATCTCCGTTAGGAGATTCCTATTTGTGGTTAGTTCTAAGTTCTCATATGATTAAAGAGTCTTCTCAGTGACTCTAGCTTTAAAATAATGTCTCACCTGACTGAAGACTGGTTTGAATCTACAGATTCTCTTTAGTAGGAAAACTGGAACCCTTAACAACAAAAAGGGAGAACAGTGGCATAAAAGTAAGCCAAAGAATATCAGAGCTAGACGGGACCTCAGAGATGGAAAGATCACAAATCTGAGACTCAGAGAGGTTACCCAAGTTGCCTCAGGTCACACAGCCTAAATGACTGATGTGTAATCAGTGACCAAATCCAATCTACAATCACCTTCTGGGTGGGGAGGTGCTTTTCCTAAAATTTAACGTCTACATCAAGTCCAGGCGTCTCACTGCTTCCACCCACCCCCCTTTTTTGTATTCATTCCGCATCGCTCTTTCTTGAAGAGTCAAGTCGTTAAAACTTCCCGTTGGGGCACTGCACAAACAGGTGTCCAGACCACGGACACGGAGTAGGAGAACCTGGGTCTCCACAAGCCCGCCGAGAACTCCCCAGCTCCCGCTTACAAAGTTTGCTCGGATCGTACGTTCCTCTTTCAGATCCCTGGCCGCGAAGCCAAGGTGCCTGCTGCGGCCTCCGCCGAAGTTCGGAGATGCCGTTTCCTCGCAGAAGCCGTGCTGGAGCGCGTCGGCCGCGGAGCCGATCGTCCCCGGGCCTGGCGGCGGCCGGGGAACACTCGACGCGGGGCAGCGCGGGGCCGGGCAGAGCAGCCCCTCGGCGCGCGCCGCCCGCCCC